GTACTGGTATCAATACTAATACCAGCATTTTTACAAGTACTCAGACTTGTACAAAGTGCATTGATACCTGTTTTCTGTTATACTGTAAAACGTTTTAAATAAAAGCGCTTRGTATATGGAAATAGGTTTGAAATCTGAAGCATCTATTAGTTTTTCAGCATTCTGACAAACTTCAGTTCATGAATAATGAGAACCTTAATGAAGAAATGCATTTTACATTTGCAGGAAGAGAAACGGAAAACTGCGTTTGATTTTTCTGACAGAAAACGAAAAGTCTCATTATTAAATTATACAAAAAAAGACTCACAGAAAGTAACCTTGAACACAGGTGCTGCAGATCAACGGGTCTTCTGGATAAGAAAAAGAGAGAGAGAGAGAAAAAAAGTGAATAATTAGATTTCAAGTGGAGAAACTGAACTGTCCACCATCATGATTAGGACTTTAATCTGCAGCATTGACTCTTTGTTACATCAGGGCAACAACAGACCTGCAGAGCATGTCTTGCAGCCCATTTCACAGTCGGTGCACTCTCCTGTCTCTGGGTCCTGCACCTGTCCTGAAACACACACACAGTCCCAGAACAATGAATGCCTTTTGTTCCCCCTCACCTTCCTGTCTCTGCTTTATGTTTACCTATGTCACAAAGTGCAGCTTGGCAGAGCCCGTTCTGGAGCTTGTAGCGTTCTCGACATTTGGCACACAAATTGCCATCTGCGCAGAGTTCACAATTGGCTATGCAGGGCAGGCACGCGTAGTGACCCCTGTCAGGGTAGAGTCCCCTGGGGCAGTGTGTCCTGCAGCGACCTTGGTGGAGGAAACGCTCCTGTCCGTCTTCATCTGAGGAGGGCAAGTAGGACTTATCACAAGAGTTCAAGAATGGTTTTTTTCCCCCCTCCTCTTCTGACGAAGACGCTTTGTGATACTCTGTGGCGCCACTGAAACAGATGGAGAAACTCACCGAGTGGATCGGTGCAGATTATTACGGGGATTTGGGGAATAAATCACACATGTAATAAAAAAAAAAAAGGAAAGCAGAGAGTGGCAGCGTCTCTGCTTATTGACTGCAACAGCATGAAAATCACTTCCTGACTGGTGATGCTTCAAACAGGAGTAATCAGACACACATGAGGGATCGCAGCCTTAGACAGAGTCTGAGATTTGGTTTTTGACAGATCGAATGATTATTCCTCTGCCACCTGCCACTAGAGCCGAGCACCCGAGGCGGCTCTGAAAGCAGGCGAGTTGCAGAACGATCCTCAGCACGGTTGCACTGAAGGTGGCTGACGTTATGAGGAGAGAGAGAGAGAGCAGAGGCACCAAACAGAAATGATTTATCACATTGTTCTTTAAGAAGAGTCATGCATGACTAGGAGGGTGAGGTTTTAAAGATCACAAACTCTTACTGCTCACTGCCACAGGGTTATACTTGCCCCTTCTCATGAACAAAAGACCCCATTATGAGATCGAATGACGCTGAGAAAAAGAAAAAGGATCACACCTTCATTTTTGAAATAAAACTTGGGTCAAAGGTGGCCTCTGTGGCAGAAAAAGCAACAAGTCCTTTGGCTGATCTTTGAATGTTTAACAAGCGTAAACTCAAGCTGAATGCCTTCTCCTTCAGCACAAAGCAAAAGCTTTGAAAGTACTCTGCTTTGGTAACCATTAAATGGAGCTCTTTGAGAAAAGAAAAAAAAGGCTTAACAAGCTGGAATGGCATTTTAACAATCGGACATCAGGACAAAAWAATAATAATAATAAAAAATAAATACAGCGAGAACAAGCAAGCAAAAAATAGTCACTTTTCCATAAAAAGATAAGAACAAAAATCCTTATTTCCAAAAACAAAACAAAACAAAAACACTGATTGGTGATAAACACCTCCACGCTGTTTATTTTTTTAAATCCTGTGTTAAAGTATTTCTCTTCACCCCCCCGCCCCCCCATCCGCACTCACAAACTCCACAGGTGGTGCAGTCGAACAGCTCGTGGCCGTGGCACTCGGAGCAGGTGGGGTGGCACAGGACGCACTGACCGTTCAGCGCAAACTGGCCGCTCGGGCAGGACGAGGAGGGTCCACATCCAACAGACCCCAAACACAGGGCGAAGCAGAGGAGGAGAGCCGCGAAGAGGAGCCCCATGGCTGCGCTCCAGTCCTGTGAGAGAAAGACAAGAAGTGGGGGGAAAACGTAAACAGGAGCAACAAAGAATGAAGAGGAGGAGGAGGAGGAGGAGGAGAGAGCAGGAGGCGGCCGTGCTGCAGGTGCACCGGCTGATCGATGTGTGGAGCTCTGGTCCAGCAGCTTCCTTCAGCCTGGAGACAATAAGATTTAAACAACTTTGATGATCGGAGTGCATTAATTATAATTAACTAACTGAACATTTTCACATATTACTTCTGATTTTCTGAGGCTTTTTGACTCTGTGTGATTATTTTTTGTATTTTTCCACACTCTTACTTTGTGCAATTATTTGCCCACTTATATACCTGAAAGTATAGCTGATACAGGAGCTGGAAGCTGTCACCTTTTATT